GAGGGACGGTCACCTGTCTCCAAATAAAAAAACAAAAAGGCTGGGGATGTGGTTCAGTGGTGGAGCACCCCTGTTCAATCTCTAGTACCTCCCCCCCAAAATACCCAGAATATGAAGCAGAGGAAAATGGTATCTGCTTCTGACCCTCCTTTGCCTGCTGGGGACACCTCAGAGGTTGCCCATGTCCCCTGGTTTGAGAAATCCCATGTCTGGGCCTTTGGGAAGCTGCTGATTCATCTGGCAGGAGGCATCTCTGAGGGTTTTCAGGCCCAGCCCACCATCCAGTTGGCCCAGCCCATCCTGGGCCTGGTTCCGTCACTCACCTGACCCCCAGTTCTTGGCCATCACTGTTTTGGGGGGTCCAGGCATATGCCAGGCCCAGGGCTGGTGGGCCAGTCTGGCAGGGCCCTGCAGCCGAGGGGGAGGTGGGCAGCTCCCAAGTGCTTACCCAGAGAGTGATGTTATTTCGGGGCTGGCGGGCAGTGACCTTTCCCACCCGGTTTTGAGGGTTGTAAATAGAAGCGGTGTCCACTGGACAGGATGGCTTTCCTCCAGAGCCCACAGCCTCCCTGGCCTCCCACCCCATCCCCCGCGGTGCTCCATCCAGCTCCCCCTGCAGGGCCTCTCCCCTCCTCCCGCGTGGCCTCTCCCCTCCTCCCATGTGGCCAGCCCACAGTGAGACTGCGGAGATGCCAACACCCTCAGAGTATAATCTGGCGCCCAGAAATAGAAGCAAATGACGCTACCTCCAAAGATTGTGCAAATTCCACACAGAAAGGTTTGCTGACTTACACCCTGTCCTTGGCTTAGAGGGAGCAAAGAGACCCCCGTGGTAGAAAAGGTCCACCTGGTGGGAGGCTCAGGGTGAAGGTCAGGAAGGCTGGCAGTCACTTAACCACTCTTCCTGTGTGATTCCGGCAGGTCACTTAACCTCTCTGGGCCTCCGTTTTTGTGATCAACCAGGGTGGTGGCTGTGCACTTGGGCTTCAGAATCAAAGATCAGTGTCAGAGTCACTACTTGCAAATTTTTTGCATGACCTTGGCACATGCATCCCTCTGAGTCTCCCTTCCCTCACTGACACCTGGGGATCAGCTCAGAGGCTGCTCTGAGGGCCTCACAGAGTCAAGGATAATAAATGGATGTCACCTGTGACCACAGCAGAGGACGACAGGGCCTCTCATGACGTCCACCCAACATCTCCACCCTCAGCGCCTTGCTCCTCCCGTGCAGGAGGCCCTGCTCTCCTGGAGCTCCTCCTATTCCCAAGGCCCTGCTGTCCCGGGGGCTGCCAGCCCCCAGAGCGGGATGAGAACCTCCCTCATGTCCTCCTTCCCCACTCCGAGGTCCTTGGGGCCTGGGGTGGTCAGGGATCCCGGGCCCGGCAGGAGCCCAAGCTTTCCCAGAGAGGAGCTGCTGGGGTTTGCAAGCCGTGCCTCTAGGGCCTTGGAAGTCAGAGCACCACTTGTGTGCTGATGGCTGGGCACTGGGGACCACTGGGGGGGAGGACAGTGTGTGGTGGCTTTTGGGTTTGGCGTGCTGTCCCCTTGAGGGTGTGCTGGGACAAGCTGCTCAGCCACAGGGCTCTGGGAAATCAGGGCTGGGGAGGGGGAGGGAAGCTGGGGGCCGTTCCACTGTGACCCTCAGGAGCAGGACAGGGCCTCTGGGGGCTCCTGGTTGGCTGGTGGGGGGACAGGTCTGTGGACCAATGTCCCTTGCTGGCCAGGAGGGGTCCTGGTGCTTCTGGCCTGGGGGGTCAACCCTGCCTCTTAGAGACAAATCCAGGCCTGCATGGCTGGGGTGAGCGCAAGTTGGTCTCGGCTTCCTAAAGGGCATTTAGCTTCAGAATCAGAAGTCTTCACACCACATGTCCCTTGGACAGTCCCCTTTGGCTCCCTGGAAGATCCTTAAGGATGTGCAGGGGCACTCCTGGTTGGGATGTCCA